ATTCCTGCTGGTTTGTGATGGTTCTGTGGCATTCCTGCTGGTTTGTGATGGTTCTGTGGCATTCCTGCTGGTTTGTGATGTGATTGTGATGACTAACGGTGCTGTGTAACAGTTCTGCCAGCAGAGGGTAGGAAGAGTGCAGAGTTTATTTCAGGTTCAACTGTGCTGTTTCGAAAGTTCAATTTTTGCTTTGAAACGGTTTTACAATCTGTAGCCTTAGGGAATGGAGTTGATAGGTAGACTGAGAAGAGCAGATTTATGGGATGGGAGACAGGGACCAGAGACAGAGTGATTTGGGCAATCTGGAGTAAGGGATGAGGAGCAGGAAAGATTTGGGACGACTCTATCGGGGGTGAAGAAGGGCGGACATATCAGGGAATAACTCATTAGATGGGAAAACGAGGAAGGTAGGAATTGAAACAAATGGGATAACGTGGGACACCAACGTGAACTTCCAAACACCAAACACGTTCACCTGTACACTCATACACAAATTCCCACTCACAATTGTTCTGGTAGATTATTTAACGAAATAATCTCAGGACCCTCAAGGTACAGTTCAGCGATTATTTAGTGAGCCAGTCTACCCCAGTAAAGATTCCGAGGTTGTACTTTAACTCAAAGAGGATTCATCAGATATTTGTTTATTGTAAGTCATGTAGACAGTACATTACTCGAATGCCGAAATGGTCTGTTTTAGACAAACACTTTGATTTTCACACAATCCAAAAGTGGCAAGGCACCTGTTATCTCCGGTCCCACCACTCTCTATCCTCTGAAGTATCAAACTATCTCCACGCCGAAACCTGTGCTTCATTCCCACCGTTGACTAAACTCCATTGCTTTGTCTTTCTCGGCGCGGTATGGGGTCATCCTCGCATTCTATTTCCAAATAAGGCCTGAGCGTTAATGCTGGTTCAGTACCGTTGCACTATCATAGAAAGCCTATCCGCTACATCAGCATCTGAGCGTGTATATACGGTTTAAATAATATTCTTTTTTAACCTGACTAATTTCTTGAAGAATAAATAAAAATGAATCTTAAATGATTTTTATGGTTATTGCTTATAAAGTTAACCAAAACTCTCTAACTCATTGTAATCGCAGCTGGAATTTCACGTGGATTTACAGGTTTAGTCACACACACACGGACACGAGCGCGCGTTCACTCATACATTTACACACTGATCCACACTCACAATCACACACACACACACAAACACATGCTCACACACTCTCACCTGTGTACACTGTGTTATCTAACTGGGGGATATCAAATACCAATATTCACAGCCATCACAAAAGTTTAAAAAAATTAAACTACACCAAGTCCCACTTCACTGTCGGGTATATCCAGATTTACAAAAAATACATAGACCAGGTTTCTGTACTTAACAAGAATTATTGTTTATTACAAATAAATAGATTCCAACTACAGACAAACAATAACACTCGTTTCCAAATCTGCCGCTGCACACGCACATACAGACAGACAGACATTGGTGTTATGGATGTAGGGAAAGTAAAATCTGGGGAGCAGTTCAATGGCCCCAGTCCATAGGGTTTGGTGAAATGCTAATCCTT